CTTCCCACATTCCCAGCTGCAACAGCAGTCCAGTTTTATCAATAAATACTTTAGAAGTAGATGATACGGGATAAGACCACTTTTGCCACGTGTGGCGCGCTAACTATTGACATTCTTAATTCTCACATGGCGCTCTACCCCATGAGGTTGTGTCAAGCGTTAAATATTAAATAATTTCGCATTTCAGGCCACAATAAAACTAGGACAGTCATTTCAATTATAACACAATTCGCTTATACCCAGAAGACGGCAAAATGTAGCCCTTTCTTCGGTTCTCCTACAAGCAAAAACTTTCTAGGAGCATCAAAATACCCTTAACAAAACAGTTTTCTGTGCGCGCAGTCGTAGACGACCTTTCCGAGATTTTTGAAAGAGTAAACTCTTCAAGCAATCATTCTGTTCTTAATATAGTCTACGGAAGCTGCGGTTCTGTGTACTCTTCCCTAGGTGGGAGGGATTGGTTAACGTCCATTACATTATTACAAATCTCAAACACCATCTCTGATTCTATTGGTGAGGTATCCGCCTCCGCAAATCATTTAAATATTTCGGCCGATAAATTATAGCGATGGCGATAGTAGACGTTGCTGAATGTTTCACCAAGTTGCCTAGCTTTCAGTTATACACAGGTACTTACTGCGGTTCTGGACCAGATTCTTTGTAAAAAGCGCTCGTCAGTCACCGCGTCTGGGCTTTTTTCAGCCAACTTCTTTTGCTTTTCGCTGGTAAACATAAAAAATATTCAGAGCTAGCAATTTTCGTCTTCGTTTTTGATAATTGCCGACGGCTTTCCCGCACAGAGAACACCCTTAATTCTTTCCCTCGGCTTTAACTGATATTTCATTTCGTTCAAGTGAACGAAACGTCCCAAATTCCCTGCCGTAACAGCAGTCCAGTTTTATTAATGAATACTTTAGAAGAGGATGATACAGGTTAAGACCACTTTTGCAACGAGTGGCGCGTTAACTCTTGACATTCCTAATTCGCACATGATAATTTATCCCCGGGGTTGTGTGAATTGTTAAACATTAAGTTATTTCGCATTTCAGGCCACAGTAAGAGTAGAACAGTCCTTTTAATTACTACGTAATGCGCCTATATTCGTAAGGCGACAAAATGTAGTCCAGACGCCTTTCTTCGTTTCTTTTTCTAAGAAGACA